TAATCCCATAAAAATTATCCACCTCCCACCCCTACTTTTTATTACAGATTCGGATTCTACATCCAAAAACACATAACTTTTGTCTGAACTTTTTTTCTATTTCTGATGGATGGCGCTGTATTCGGCGAAAATTCGGTAACCTTCGTTTTTTTCAAAGGGAATCCCCTATAATGACGCTACGTCGAAGAAAAGTAACTTTTGTCGGAAACATATTTTTTCGAATTATTGTAAATATTTACGATAATTTTTTATCCGTTTTAACTAAAAAATGAAAATAAAAGTTACAATCTCTAATGGCCTTGACCTTTACAAATGTTATACAAATGATGATGTTAAAAATTCAAGAGGATTTAGTCGTCATTTCGATGTGGTCATTTCCAAATGGTCCACTCACGATCTTTCAAAATTTAGTGTTAAACGGATAAAAAATTATCGTAGATATTTACGATAATTCGAAAAAATATGTTTCCGACAAAAGTTACTTTTCTTCGACGTAGCGTCATTATAGGGGATTCCCTTTGAAGAAAACGAAGGTTACCCAATTTTCGCCGAATACAGCGCCATCCATCAGAAATAGAAAAAAAAAGTTCAGACAAAAGTTACGTGTTTTTGGATGCATCCGAATCTGTAATAAAAAGTAGAGGTTCCTATTTAAGATTTCAAAGTTACTCCCCGCCCCATCCCCAGGGGGGGGGGGCGGGAGGTGGATAATTTTTGTGGGATTGAATTGCGCCCTCGAAACTATTGAGGGTTTATTTGGAACATTTTTATCGTACAATGTTTATTTTTCGAGATATTTAGCAGTCTCTAGTTAAAAAAAACACCCTGTATGCATACCGTAGATTCTCCATATATTATGGAATTTATATTATAAAATTCGTATATATATGCAATATGCAGGAGATATTCTGAGGATATTGCACATAAATTATGTAAATTACGACTAAAATGTAAAAAACAAATTACGGTAATATTTTACAGAATGAAATTTTGCACTATAAATTGTATAAGAAATATTTTTAGAATATTCTCAGAATATCGGAATATATATATTATACATACATACATACCCAGTAAGCAAATTGAGCGCAGACTGCGCGCAGATTGGCAGCAAATTTGATCAAAAACCCACAGCAAAACCATAGCCATCTGTGTCTACATTAGGCTACGGTTTTGGCGACAGATCTTGCTGTTGGGCAATTGGTGCCAAATTTGCAGCAAAAACCGTACAAAGCTTGCAGCGTAGCAAGGCTGCGCCGTTTCTGCCGCCAACCTGCCGTCAAATCACTACAAACTCTGCGCGGTTTTTGCTACAAATCTGCAGCAATTATCCGACAACAAGCTCTGTCGCATATCTGGCGGCAATTTGGCAGGAAGATTTGATATAACAGATCCTGCATCAAATTTGTTATCTATTTGTCGTCAAAAGTTGATAGCAAGCTCTGCTTGAAATCTGTTTGCGCAGATTTGGCTATAGATACATGTGTGTGTGTGTGTGTGTGTGTGTGTGTGTGTGTGTGTGTGTGTGTGCGTGCGTGCGTGCGTGCGTTGTATTTATTTTCTAAATTAACTTATCGTTTACTCTTAAATACATATGTTAAGTTAAAAATATAAGAGCAATAATTGCGTCACTATTTCGCCAATATACATTATATTAATATCCATCGCATATTAACTGTTTTCGTTTTCAATATCTGTTAATAACCCTTATAGAAATATCATACTAAAAATCATTGATAATTACTTATTTTCAGTATTAAAAATACTGGATAATAAGTAATTATCAATGATTCTTAGTATGATATTTCTATAAGGGAAATATAACATTACAATGTTTTGTAAGCACATACAAATATATAAGCACAAGTTATGAAGGTATCGTCAGAGCCATTGAATCATTACTAGTTTGATCACCAAGGTTGAGCAACAGCAATGAAGACTGGGACCCAGACTACTCTTATAGAAATATCATACTAAGAATCATTGATAATTACTTATTTTCAGTATTAAAAATACTGGATAATAAGTAATTATCGATGATTCTTAGTATGATATTTCTATAAGGGTAGGAAATGGAATGACCAGTGCAGTTCGAGTTCGAAACCATGCAGAAACACGTATAAGCGAAACACCGCAAAATATAATGTACCAATTTTTTTTTATTATTTTAACAAAATAATCAAACATTAAGTTATATGGGAGTGCGCGTTACTATTTGTGCATGCTTGTGTGTTAAGAATACTTTATATATTTGGTATTCTGATGTTCTGAGAATATTCCATGTATATCCTCAGAATATCATGGACGATATTCTAAGAATATCCTGAGAACAAGAAAAGGGCGGAAGTAGGGATATCCTGGAGGAGTATATCGTGAGTATATCCTAATATATATGGAGTAAATCCTATATATATCGTGTATCAGATATGATATTTTTAGAATATTCTCAGAATATTCTCAGAATATCATGTGCTATCTGGGATATAGAAAGCAGAATATACAATGCAAATAACATTCTCTCAGAATAAAATATAATATTTATTTCAGAGTAGACTTAACACATTTGCACATTTTCTTTTTTATATATTATAAATAATTTCTTTACAGATAAATATGTTCTTTATAGATAAATATTTGCACATATAAATTTGGTATTACAATATATGTCAAAAATAAATTTCTCTGCTATTTCCCTCTCAGTCTATTGGCTTTTGGTATCATTTTCTATATGAAAGTCTAAACAATCATGTGCGATCATTCTTTTATAGTAATCACAAGATATATGATCAGTCTTTAAGTTACACCCAAAAAAAATTATGTACGATTATATATGAATATTGTTATTATATGACTATATAATAATACATAATTATATATATTCACAATGAACAAATTTTATATAAATATAATTTAAGTAAATACTTATGTTTATAGCAGTTTATATAGCGTGATGTCATGATGATGCCGTAATGATGTCATAATGATGCCAATTAAAAAATTTTTTTCTGTTTATTCAACATCACATTTTTTACAATTACATCTAATTTTACGTTTACTATATAGTCATATAGACAAAATTCATAAGTATGGGTTATTTTATATATAATCACATATAATTTAAGGCTACTGAGTATTCATATCAAATTAATATGGATACAATCATAAAATTAATGTGACATAATTTTCATTTTTAACTTAATTTCCTCATTATACTTTCATATTAATTTTACGAATATTTATTGTTAGAACAAAATATTTTAGAATTTATATTGTTAGGACAAAATATTTTATAAAGAATATTTTAGAAGTGTGCTTAATCGCAAATGTTTTATGGACATATAGTTTTATGTGAACGTATTTCGCAAGAATTCTTCGCATGCGTTTTTCGTTTCTGACGTCATTAAAAAGATATAGATGATACGTGTACCCAGGACTCTTAATATAATTTGTATGAATATTTTTTCTTGGGAATATTTTTTCTTGGGTATATGTGAAAACACAATCATACTTTGGTAAACATGGAACAATATTTCTACTTCAAAACTGGTTAATTATCTCTAAAATATTCCATCACCTATTATGTAAAATATATCCATAATGTATAAAATTAATTTTTATGTCAACTGCAAATGTATATTTAATTATCACCAGTATGATACATGGCATCTAAGAAGGATCTCGTAAAATCACTGACCACAGTTCTGTCTGGGATGCTTTGACTCATTCCATACATTGCAAGCTAAAATATAACATATATGATTGTCATTTCAAAAGAGAGACCATTGGTTTAGAATTTCAAATTTCGGTGTTTTGCTATTTCACCTTTCCTTCCACTTCACTATGTGGATCCTTCAAAATTTCTGTCAATGCATACTCGACGTCTTGTAAGAAGCGATCAGCTACATCTGGTGCAGTATGTACATAAGTAATACATATGTGTATACCGCAAGGAAATTGTAGTGTATTCAAATTCCATCCTTTGATATTGAGAGCCTCCGATAGTCGATAAATACTAAATTGATTTGAACCTAATGCAATAACAGATGTAGCTGGAGTACCAAAAATAAAAATTCCATCCAGTTTCCTCAATCTACATTGAAATCGTAAAAGATTTAGTATAAAAGCATAGTTTTAATTATAATATAAATACCCAGATAGATATATTTTGGCATATTATCTGTTTAACGACTAACACAAGGACACAGAGATGAGCCTTCATATAACATACAAATTTTGTATCAGTATATAAAAGAAATCCTTTAAGAGATACCACGACAAGAGATGCTACTTATTTTGCTGAGAAGAAAATGCCATTAATGACATGGCAAATGGAATTATGGTAATAAGTAAAAATTTTGATTAAAATTATGGCGAAATCACTCTAAATCTACTAGTTTTAAGAGAGAAATTTTGATAGTTTTTAAAACAAACATATTTTAAATACGTACTGTTTGGAGTAGTATCATAAAGTATATATTAAATGTTTGCATGCTGGGTTCAGTATTTCTATCTCATCTGAGTATGTTCTATAATTATAATCCTATAATTATTTACTTATTCTCGATGTATTTAGTAGTTTCGATTATTCTCTTAGTAGACTCTACATAGGCATCATATCCAAAATGTATTAACGTGGCCCAGCAAGCGGCTATAATTCCTCCTGCTCGAGATCCGTTTATGGTTGGAGAACCGTAAATACCACCAGGCCAGTCTGTGCTAATTGAATATTGATGATGCCGATATTTCTTGTTTCTATAAAGAATCAATGAAGATCCTTTCGGAGCATATCCGTACTGAAAACAGATTGGACAATTTTAATACATTTCAACTAGTACATACAAGGTTCCATACTGCGTTACTACAATGCGGACAAATACCTTATGAGTGTCGGCAGATATACTGGTCACACCAGGAAGTCGAAAATCAAAAGGTGGGAAATTATAACCAGCATCAGTCATAAAACAGGCTAGGAAGCCACCCAAACAGGCATCTACATGAACAGGTATGTTATATTTCATACCTAATTCAGAAATTTCTTCAATGTTATCCATTGTGCCATAGGGAAAATTTGGTGCAGATCCTACTAACTATTAGAAATATTATATCTAATACAGCTTTGGAATAATTTTATGTAATTATAGTGCATTATATCTTACCATTATTGTATTTCTTGTAATTGCCTTTTTCATAGATTTAATGCAGACTGTATAACTATTATCATTGACAGGTATAGAACGTATTTTTAAATTAAAATACTGTGCAGCTTTGTCAAATGATGAGTGAGCAGTAACAGGCATCACTATTTCTGGATGTTTTATGCCTTTGACTGCACGAGCATAATCTCTATATGCTTTACAAGCTAATAAAATTGATTCTGTACCACCTGTAGTCATCTGAAATATTTATCAAAAAGACTGCATACATCTGTGTCTAATTCATAGTAGTTAGAAACTAGAAAAATAATAAGAATGCTACTTACAGTTCCACAAGTTTCATGATCTCCATGAAACAGATTACAGGCCATTCTAACTACTTCTGCTTCCATTTTACAAACACCGGGAAAAACGTCTGGATGTAATGGATTTGTATATGATGCAATAGCATATATATTTCCCATGAGATTTACAAGTTTATCATCATTTCTGTAAACTGTTCCTGATACTTGACCTGCTTTCCAATCATAGTTACCTAAGAAACAAGAAAAATTCAGTCAAACTGTCACAATATTTGTTAAACTAGTACGATTGATTAATCTTACCTATATGAACATGTTGTTTTACGATATTTAATATTTCTTCATCCCTTAATCCTTTTGCAGGAAGCTTTACAGTAAATGGAATATCTTTCAATCGATTTAACGCATCTTTTTGAAAAGCTTCATTAACATTTGTTAATTCCTTGTTTATTTTATCTTGAATGGCAGGGATATAACGAGCTAGCTTGAATATTTGTTTCTTTGCACGTATCGTGAGACCTATAACATATAAACTTTAGAAAATTATAATAATAAAATATAATTACTTTAATATACAGTATAATCAATTGTGTTGGAAATTATTAGTAATACTGGATTTAATTATTTTACACAAAAGCATTATATTTACTTTCATCCTGAAAAATGAAGTTCCATAACCATATTGTAGCAAGAGTAGTAGTTGTAGTCATAGTTACTATTTGCCATGGTTCCTTATTTTGAAATAAATTATTTATGAATTTTGCTGGAACATCCGCAAAAGGGAGATGCATGTTTCCTAAAGATTGTAATACTAAACACTGATATAAAAATATTATTACATGTATATACATTATATAGCAATTTTCGGTAATTATTTAAGACAACTATCCTCACCTCCGATTTTAATGAAAATACTCATTCGACGCGTTTTTGCATAAATAAAAGAATCTGACCGAAAATAGTATCGCTCTACCTCGCGAAGAGAGATATTTAGCGTTACAGTTAGTCACATCTGAGGTTAAGGAATCTGTCATCTGAACGTAATACGAACTAGGCTTGTATTGAGATGCGTTCAACAACGCACTCAATTATTTTCTGCTATAATTTAGATTTTATGTGAATTTTTGTTTTAGATTAAAATAGAGAATTTAGCAGTAAATATTTATTTTGTCATTTTATTTATATTTATTTCCCAGTGAGAAATGACTTATCGATCGACGTCGAAAAGACGTCTATTTGACGATTTCGACGTCTTTTTGACATCGATCAATAAGTCATTTCTCACCAATCTTAAATCACATTATTTCCTTTCAGGAATAAGCACGATGAACCATTTAATAAGGCGAAGATTTGAAATTATATATATAAATTCTCTGCTTTAATCAAAAACCTAAATTATAGCAGAAAATAATTGAGTGTGTGTTGAACATATCTCAGTACAAGTCTAGTTCGCATTACGTTCAGATGACAGATTCCTTAACCTTGGATGTGACTAACTTTAATGCTAAATGTCTTTCTTCGCGAGGCAGAGCAACATTTTTTTCGGCCAGATTCTTTTATTTTATGCAAGAACGCGTCGAATAAGCCTATTTTCATCAAAATCGGAGGTAAAGATAGTTGTTCTAAATAATTACCCAATTTTCTCTTTCTCTCTCAGTTAAATTAAACATTAAATAAAATTTTTATAAGTGCAAGGAAAGTTGAGCTTACTAACGATTTGCAATTGATATCACTCAAATAATTGTATACTTACCAGTATACGTAATTGCAATTTTGAATGTAGACAGATTAATTAAATAACCGAGGTAGACTAAACAATTCAATAGAATGACTTGGCAATATAATAATCAGCGTTGAGACCTTTGAAAAAAAATCTTATCTATAATATCAAGCGTGTCATTGCTACTGAAGTAAATACTTAACAACTCGTTTCTTTTCGTATAAAGGTTGCGTTCCGAAATTCACTGCCAGTGCTGAAATTCTATAATGGACGCTAATGGGTCTTGCACACAGGACGCGGTAATGCTTGCCGCGCGGCGGAAGTTGACAGCCAATCATCATGCTGCTTTCCGTAATAACCTTCTAGCTCTTACGGAAAAACAACATATTGATTGGCTGTCGCGCAGACTTCTGCCGCACGGCAAGCATTACCGTGTGACGGAAGTTCGCGCGACAGCCAATCAATATGTTGTTTTTCCGTAAGAGCTAGAAGGTTATTACGGAAAACAGCATATTGATTGCCTGTTACACGAACTTCCGCCGCGCGGCAAGCATTACCGCGTCCTATATGCAGGAGCCATAACCATTAAGGCCTTTGCTACAATATAAAAATCAATAATTTTTAAAGTAACAAGAAAAAAATTTGATTTGCAAGGAAAATATAAAAACAAAAAATAAGATATTTATATAATTTGATACCAAATTGTATTTATTATATTACATAAGAATATATAAAGAATATATTATATTACATAAGAATATATAATGTTTATATAATATATTTATATAATAAGAGATATATAATATATAAGTAAAAAAAAATATATATACATATATATATATATATATATATATATATATATATATATATATATATATATATATATATATATATATATA